CATGTACTTCCTACCACACACCTTTATCAAGTATTGTAAACCGAAGAAGCACACTTCTGGAAACTTTCCTCCTCTGCTTTCAAAGTAAGAGAACACTATGGTAGTACCTGAGGGATACTGCTTGTGATGTGATACCTGTTTGCAACGAAAATAACAGATTCGGTGACAGCCTGCAAACGAACCTTTCCCTGTTAGAGTTCAATGCGGTGGAACCGGAAGTCTCAAGATCCTCCAAATTAGCGCAAGAAACGACAAAGTGTGATCTAAAAGGTAGAAAATCTAGCAAGTCACTAAATTTTGGGGCAAAGAAGGTCTTCTTACTTTGTAAGAGTCGGTGATCAGCAGAATATTCTCAGGATCCAACTTTTCCGCCATTTTACTTTCGTTTTCTCGCGTTACTAGTTCTCAGTCCTCCTTCTCGAAGTGTAATGTGTATTTTAAATCGTTTTGATCGTTCAAACAATGGAAGGGAAGGACCAATAGAAACGTGATGGGGGCGGAGGCAGTCTCTTCCGGCCAGGCGTTCAGTTGGTTTTATTTTTACGACGTTTTTCGCTCTGCGTCCCAACTAACTGAACGCCTGGAAGAGGCTAGGGCGGAGGGGTGGGGAAAAGAACAAAAAAAAACCATTCCTGCAAGGAAGGGTGACGTACTGAAGAGGTCAAGAAAAAATAAATCCTGCAGAGTGAATTGCTCTCCGGGGCTGTCGGACTTGCAAACTGTGTGGCACCTTGGCAGCCACAGTTTTTATTGGGCTTTTTCAATCTATTTTAGGCAAACGACGCATTTTCATTCAAAACCAATCAATACATTAAATTTATCGGCTGAAAATCGTGGAAAACGCACAAAAACGCTTCAATTTTGCAAAATTTTCTAGGAGGCATGCCCCCAGACCCCCCTCCCCCATCGAGGAATAGGCCCTTTGGCCCCATATTTGTCACTGAACGGCCACTCACAGAATCCTAGCTAAAATCTTGATTCGTTGTATTTAATGCCAAGAATGAATTTTATTACAAGGTTAATGAATAAATGAAATCAAGGGATTGATATTTCCCCCTGAACATCAAACAAAAAATGCAATGCAGCCCCATTTTAGGCAATAGCACTTGGATGTGTCTGATACTTGTTTATGTTTCCCCTAGGAGAATAATTTTGACAGTAAAGCAAAACGACTGTGCGAAAGATAACTAATATTTGTTTGAAGCATATTCCAGGCATTCAGATTGGGGCGAGTGTTAAGATTTCGGTAGTAGAATATCACCCCCTCTTTCCAAAAAAGAATTGAACCCAAAAAAAAAATTCCTCCAGAGGCAGTGGAAGCTAAGGAAGTCCTGCAAGCTAAGGAAGTCCCACTCCCATCACTTTTCTAATGGTCCGTCCCTAAGCAAAGTAAAAGCGAAGCATAAGCACAAGCATAAGAAGTCTATGCTCCAATACGGACGGCTGTGACATACGCATAAGCTGAAGCCCGGTCCACACTTGCGACGCAAGCATAGACATAAACATAAGCATAAATAAGAACGCAAGATTTTGATATTCTTATGCTTATGCTTATGTCATAGCCGTCCTCACCAGCGCATAAGCTTCTTATACTTATGCTTGCGTCGCAAGTGAGGACCGGGCTTCAAAGAAAACCAACCCTCGAAAGACCGTGGAAACGGGTACAAGAAGAGTTGTGTTGGCGAAAAATATTAAAAAACTGCGCGCTCAATGATAATGGAACATTCTTATTTAATCCGTTACGTTGTGTTGTGTTTTTTATATTTTTTTTAATTAAAGTGCACCTAACCCCAAAATTTTTTTTCGCTAGAACGAATCTACTTATTATTTGAAATAGTT